CGCCCCGCCCGGGGGTCCCCACCGCCCCGCCCCCGCCCCCGCCCCCTCCCCCGGGACCCTCCGCCGCCTGCCCCTGGGGGTCCCCGCCGCCCCTCCCCCCTCGCCGAGGGACTCTCCTCCCTGCGCCCTTCTCCCGAGGGTCCCGGTCCTCCTAACCCGGTCTCCCGAGGGACCCTCCCTGCGGGGGTCCCCGCCCGCCCCCGGGGGTCCCCAGTCCCGGCCCCGCCCCCGTGGGCTGAGTCCGGGGGGGGGCCGTGAGGGCCTCTGGCCCGTTTCCTCGCGAGGCGGCCTTGGCCACAGCCCTGGGCCGCCTTTGTTCTCCGCCGGCGGCTCGCGCTCCCCGCCGCTCCCGGGCACCTGCGCGGGGGCCGGTGCACTGCCCGAGCGTCCCGGGCGGCTCTGCCCCGGCTCCGCGCCTGCCGCAGCCCCCGGGCCAGCGCGGCTGAAGCGCGGCTCGCACGCGGAACTCTGCTCCGGGCCGCGGCCGGCCGCGGGGAACCCGGGAGGCAGCCGGGGGTGGGGGGGAGGTAGCCGTGGTCGGGGGGACCCCGGGGGGGCTGCGCGGGGGGGGGACCCTCCGGACTCTGCGGGCCTCCTGTGTGGCCCGCGCGGTGCGGAGGTCCCAGGCGACAGCCGCTGGTCACGCGACACAAGGGGAGAGTTTTCTCTGGGCTGGACGGATCCGTTCCTGGGCCTCACCTGGGCCCTTGCAGGGCGACCCGTGCACGGCGGGACCGAACCTTCCAGGAACACGGCGGACCGTCGCGACGACAAGGGAACCGAGATCTGCCGGGCGTGGACCTCGCAGCGGACACGTCGTGGTCCGAGAGCGGACTTCTTCAGGGCAGTGGGCCCAGGACTTCTTTCTCTTGGTTTTTGCTTACACTTGGCGAACGCACCTGGGAAAGGTGCAACAAGGTCAAGGACCCGCTGTGACTCACAGCCCGCCGGCTCCTGACCCTGTCCCAGTCGCTCAGAAATGGCACCAGGCCTGGACACTCCCAAAGCTCCCGGAACCTCAACTCTGCTCGCACTCACAACCCCGGACCAGCTCCTTCCCTACCCACTGAAGAAAATGGCCTGAGTCCACCAAGAAAGAGCAACAGCTTTCTCCCAAATTCTCTTACTGGTCAGGGCCCCACTCAGATCCTCTGGAGAGAGTTTAGCATTAAGTATATGCATGCAGACGTGTTCAGAATATAACTGGATAAATTCCTGTATTTTGGTCCACTCTCTTCCCTCAGGTGTTCTGTCTCTAGATCAGACACAAGTTCAAAATTCGTCATTCCAAGTCAATAGATACTATTACAGCCAGAATATTTTTTTTAAAGATTTTGTTTATTTGACAGAGAGAGAGAGATCACAAGCAGGCAGAGAGAGAGGGAAGCAGGCTCCCAGCCGAGCAGAGAGCCCGATGCGGGGCTCCAACCCAGGACCCAGAGACCATAACCTGAGCTCAAGGCAAAGGCCTAACCCACTGAGCCACCCAGGCGCCCCTACAGCGGGGATATTAAGGAGACCCTCTGTGGATGACAATCCCTGCCCACGGGCAGTTTCCACTCTGAAAGACCAGGACACAAATATGTAAATGTATTTAAAGGCAGTTTAACTTTAGCAAGTACAAAAGTTAAGATTTTAAGGTTGGCATAGAATTTGAAAAGTATCTTAAGAGACTGGGATAGGACAATTCCAGGCGAATGTACAATCGGAAGAGGAAATAGGGTTTCAAGCCTGGGAAAGGCTGAGAGGTGGAAGAAGGCACATCAGCCGTGCCAGCGGGGGTTGAGAGTAGGGTGAACGAAGGCAGATGCCAGGCGTTGGAGGAAATATACATGGTACTACTGGCATGAGGGAATGCTGAGAAGTAAGATTAAGAGTTAAGATTTTGGGGACACCTGGGTAGCTCAGTCTTCTGCCTTCAGCTGGGGTCATGGTCCCGGGGTCCTGGGATCAAGTCCCACTTCGGGCTCCCTGCTCAGCGGGCAGCCTGCTTCTCCCTCTCATACTCCCCCTGCTTGTGTCCCTCCCCCATCAAATAAATAAAATATTTTTTTAAGGAGTTAAGATTTGGGGGGGCACCTGGGTGGCTCAGTCAACTGAACACCTGACTCTTGATCTTGGCTCAGGTCTTGACCTCAGGGTGAGATAGAGCACTGCGTGGGGCTCCCTGCTCAGCGTGGAGCCTGCTTGGGATTCTCTCTCTCCCTCTCCCTTTGCCACTCCCTCTCTTAAAAAAATAAAATGCGATAAGATTGTGGTCAGTACCAGCTGTGTCACATAATAGCTGCCTGGTCCGTATCGAATGGGTGAATTGTTAATCTCTCTCTGTTTCCTCATTTGTAGGATTAAAATAATAATGTCCATCCAATTATTCCACAAATATTTTATGAAAAGCAACTATGAACTAAGAATTACGTTAGGTGATAGAGACCGTAAGGAGTCGTTCACTCATTCTTCAGCACCACCTTACTATGCACCAAGCTGGAAGCAGAAAGCTAAGTGACAGATACTGTAAACTCAGAGGAGAGAGTGTTTCATGAAGTGGAACAGTCAACTGTCTCAACTGAGAGGCTGAATAAGATGAGGACAGAGAAATGTCCATTGTATTTAGCAAATTGGGGCCAAAAAGCAAACTTAATTATTTTGAGCTGTTTCTAAGGCGTGGCGACTTCAGAAGCTAGACTGAAGTCCCTCGAGGTGGGAAGAGGAGGGTAATGTGTGAAGACGGTTGCACCAGCACCAGAGAGAGAAGAGGGCGGTCGTCTCTAAGGTGGGACAGAGGCGAGCGAGCTTGGATGCTGGCGAGGGGGAGCAGAGGGGACACCAGGTGCAGGAGCTAGGGGAGACCGCTTCGGGAAGGCCTGCGGCCAGCACAGCGCCTGGGTGACCCCTCGGCAGAAAGAACACAGTCCATCCACTGCGACAAGATGGAAAACAGAATGTGGCTGCAGGTGCAGGGAGGTTTGAGATTTGCTGGTGGAAAACCTGAAAGATTTTCCTCTGATGCTTTTTCTCTCCTGATTGAAACAGGAGGTGAAACCACCCATGGAAGTGACAGAGGAGAGGGAGAAGGAGGAGAGCAAAGTTCCCAGGGTGCCAAGGTGGGGAGCTTCAAGGGAAACCTGTCAGTCTGGTTTTTCCACATTCTCAGTCAAGCTGAACTACTTGAATTCAGGCTGTGAATATGCGTTTCCTTCAGGAAGGGTTTTCCCAGACGGGTGAGAGAGGCAAAGGAACTCCAGTGTGTTTGTAAGGGAGCAATTATAATGGGGGGTTATGGCATCGAATGGAGATTCCAGTAGGATTCTACAGTGCTGAGTCCTAAGGACAGAAAAGGATTGTATAAAAATAACCTGCCGGCGTCTGGGATTTCAGAGGTCATACGGCTATGGATGGTAGCAGAGTCCACAGGGCAAACGGAGGAGCCAGGTGAGCCAGGGCAAGAGGTCACCAAACAGGAGCTGGTCAAGGAGTTAGGAAGCTAGAGGACAGACTCCCCAGTTTTCAGGAGCGCACAGGACTGTAAAAACGACCGCAGGAACTGAGACCGCACAGTGATCTTAGTGATCAGAGAGAAAATTTATAATTGCCCATGATGGAGTTCTAGAACCTAGGTGAGGTTCAGTGGGCTGAGGTCCGGAGCCGATGACCAAGAAAGAATTCTTGAGACATCTTTGGTGCAAAATGGTGGTTTATTAAAGCCCGGGGACAGGACCCATGGGCACATGGAGATGCTGCGCCGGGCATGTGAGGAGTGGCTGGTTATATACACAGGAGTTGGGTGGGTGAGGACAAAGGGGTGTTCAGAAGGGCTATTGGGGTAAAGAAGACTGTCCGGATACTGAAGGCCTGGTTACTATCAAGCCAAGGCCGCTTTCCCTCTAAGGAGGCACTAACATAAAGACAATTGCGGAGTCTCCTGGTGGAATGTCACATTCCTGCTATCAAGCATCCTCGTTAGTGAGATTTGGGTTTAGAATAAATTTAACTTTATTTACTTTTCCTTCTACCTCAGCCTCCTTCAGTTTTGTTTATGGAGGGGAGGGTGACATTAGGGCTTGAGGAACTGAGTTAGGTGCCTCTGGAAACTGGGCTATTGATAAGGTAACTTCTTTGTTGTAAATCTCAAGGACATTTGTAAACCAAGGGAGACTCCTGCCTTGCAGGTTTGTGATCTCTGCAACTTAACTATTTGTTTCTCATTTATGGCAGTCAGGGGTGCCTGAGGAGTGTGACACACATTACCGAGGGGAGCGGGTGGAGAGGGGGTGCAAGGTGCCAGCTTTTGCTTTGTTTTCAACCAGCCTCCTGCTCCCTCATCACCCAAAACTTTTGGTAAAACGTGTAAAACTCCCTTACTGCCAATTGTAAATGTATAGAGAATTTTTTAAATTGTAAAACTAATATTTAGTAAACTATAAATACGAAAAACATGAGAATTCGTGCTTTATTTCTGTGTAAACACTTTGCCAAGAGTAGTTTGAACTTGCTTTCTCCTGCCATCACTCACCTTTTGTGCCTTGATAAATTGTCCTCCTCCTCCCAACATCTGATGTTTTGTATTTTCAATGTCATACAATACCTCCAAGTGTCCTTAACATGAAGTTGTTATCAATGTCCCTTCACCCTTTGTCAGTCACCTGCTCAAACTGATCTGTGTGACCCGGATGCAGGGTTCCCAGCAGTGCCCTGTCCTGGCCCAGCACCTTAACCAGAGCTCGACACTAACCAGCTCTGTGGGCCTCCAAAAGGACACAACCAGACTTGATTGCAGTGAACTTGGGTTTTCATTCTCTCTGTAATACAGTTTTCTTTCGACGTGACAAGTGATGCCAACACTTGGCCTGAATGCTAGCCAGACCCACTGGGATCTGTCATTATTAGTACCATCTTCTATCCACAGTTGAAGAAAGTCTTGTCAACACGAACAGTTAGATGTGGACCCAGCGTTACCGTGCTTCCTCTCCTTGTTGGGTAGGACCTTCATGCAGGCTGAGGTCATCGTCTGGGCTTCACTCTTGTCATTTTCAAATTTCCTAATCACATCCAATTTCATCGTCAGCTCCTCATTTATTTCTCTGATGCACTTTCAACTTTTTGGGCACATTTTATAAAACAAAATTTTAATGTAAAAAGGAACGCTCTTTTTATGGTCCATTTTTGTAAAACACCCTGTGGGTCTGTCGCTGGGAGGCAAGGAGGCAATACAGTGACACTCCTTGCTGTCTGTGCTGAGGCCTGAGGCAGGAGTAACCAGGTGCAGTGACCTGTCACTGACGGGCTTGGCGAGGAGGCCCAGGCTGCGTGAGGGCCATCGGTGCGGCGAGCTGTGGCTGGGCACTAGCTGTGAGGTCTGCGCTCGATGTACTTCCTCAGTCAGTGCAACAGAACAGCTGAAATTTGAGTCCTGCTTCTGGGGGACGGGTATTTCGAGACAAGACCGTGGCCATCCAAGTTTGTTCATAGCAGAGCAGTGCCCGCGTAGGGACTGCCTCACTGGACAGCTTTCTGTGTGCACATTGAAGGCACAAAGAATGGTAGCAGGAGTCAGTGGAGATGGGGCCTGGGGTCCCCTAGCTCTTGTCTTCAGGTGAGGAGAAGAAGCCAGCCAGGGGCCATGGGCAGCAGCGGCACGCGGGCGTGAAGAGGCATGAATGCACACGGAGGCTTTGCCAGTTGCTGGGGCACTGAAGGCCACAGTGGCTGTGTCAGGGACGGAGAGGAAGAATAGCGTCTGCTCGAGGGGCTGTGGTAGGTAGGGTGTGCGGGGGCCAGACCGAGGTCATCTTGGACAAACCCACCACGGTGGCCACTCTGTGGCCATCCTTCTGCTTGAGTGCACCCTTAATGAGGCATACACTCGGGGCCTCACCTGCTTGCCCTGCCCTGGAGCTCGGACTCTGACACACAACGATTCCTATCCATTCTCCCCCATCGCCGGTCCCCCGCAGGTTCGCCTACCCTCCAGGGCCGAAAAAGTGGGTCTTAAGGAAGGTGGGCGTGTAGAGATCTAGCCTTCACTGCTGCCCAAGATGCGCTTCTGTCCGCAGGTCCCCTTAACCAACCATTTCTCCTCAAGCTGGACTTGGCCTCTTTCTTTGGTCTTACGGCTCCTTTGGGGATGTTCTGCATGTACCTCCCTTTCAGAGAACAGGGACTCTTCTGTGGGGACAAGCCAAGTCCTTCTTAACGAAAGAGACTCAAAAGGCACCTGGAGGAGAAGCTGGGGACAGAGAGGAGTGCTGTGAGGCCTGCAGAGGAAGGTCACTAACTTGCTGTGAAAAGCTTCGAGAAGCCAGATGTCAGATCATGGACATGCAGATTTCTCTAGCAGCTGAAGCAAACATCTCCGTCATGGCTGATGTGATTCGTCCTTGAGTCACTGGCAAATTGGTTCAGAAGGGCATTCCAATGGCTTCTGCAGGCTCCCGGGGGAGCGGCCACCACAGCAGAGCAGGAAGACATGGCTGTGCAGAGGCTCTCTTGGTACACATCTCCATGTGGCTTGGAGGAGGAGAGGCGGGAAGGGGTCTTTGTGGTGACAGGGAGGCTGGAACAGAAACGTGCACGACACAGGATGAAGGACAAAGGAGGGCATGGAAGGTGCTGGATGATAGTGGAGGTCAAGTCGGGGCAGCAGCGAGAAGTCCTGCTAGGTTAGAGACCTTCACGTGCACCTGGAATCCATCAAGCCTCAGGAAATGGCGGTTCTCTTCCCTGGAGAATCAGACCCGTAAACATAGGCAGAAGAGTTTGTTTTAACTCAGAGGCGACCAAGGATGACTGAGGGGCCCTGGGTCAGGGGGTGACAGGACCTGGGCCGTGCCTTCCAGGTGGCTGCGCCCCAGCGTGCTCCCCAATCCTCCTGAGGTGCACTGGCCGCCCTGGAAGCCTGCTGAGGCAGGGGCCCTGCTCGCAGCTCGCGCCTCGCACGGTGCCTGGGACACTGCACACAGAGCGTGGCTGTGCAGACAGCGAGCAAATGAGCCCACGGAAGCAGGGGAGGTGGAGGAGACGGGAGGGTCAGAGTCGCTCGTATGGAATTCAACGAGGTGTGTATGGGGTCGGGGAGGTCCTTGTAAGGCCTCCCATCAGGCAATACTGGCAGGTGACATTTGAGGATGAGGAAGCTCCGGGGCTCTCTGAAGGGCTGGGCCAAGCGCTCCGTGATTCATTACCTCGCGTGGTCCCCACGCCGCCTGCATCACTCTTTACAAATAGGAGGCCACAGGCTTTACAGCTACATCCTGCAAGTTCCGCAGGAAGGTGCACGGCTTTAACCTACCCGCTGCACGGGCTTGTCACCACTTCTGCGGCCGTGGCTCACAGCGGACAACTCCCGTGCTGAAGATTTGGGGCAGCGATGACCCATGTTTCTGCTGCATAGCCCAGAACTGTTGGTCCTGGATTCTCCAGCTCAGGAGGACACGTAAGTGAACAGAAAACTCTCCCCCACCGTTCACTTTCCAGTCTTTGGACTATTCAACGAATGGCTATTTCAACCAACCCTTAAGTTTGACATGGTTTTGCAAGCCCTAATTACAGCCTGAAAGCTGACAGGCACGACGGGTTGCCTCCTCAAGCCCGTCCCCTTCTTCCACGCTGGCGCTCTGTCTACTCTTTTCGTGGGGCCCTGCGCTCCTGCAAAGGGAAATGCGCCCTCAGCCCCAAGGAGTGAACTCTGACCCATCTAGTCATAGACAGGAACATGACCAGATTGTATCAAGTTAAACAAATGTCAAAGTCTGGGGGAGAGGGGAAAGACAGCAACCACCTGTGTCCCTGATCAAATGCCAGGAAAATGAAATTCTCCTCTTTAAAAAAACAAAACAAAAAACTGGATTAGGTTTTTCAGTTCTTGCACCTAAAAAGAATTTAACTAACAGAGTAACAAAAGGAATGAGCACACATTAAGCATTTTGGTTCCTGAAGGATGTGTTAAGTACATTGTCTTTAATCCAAACTTGCTAATTCCTTTCTAAAGAATGCCTACAACATATTAAAATGCCATTTAAAATATAACTGCCCTTAGAAGTTTTCCAAAATCTATTTTAACCTTTCCTTGACACTTTAGAAAGTTGTGTCATAATTTCCCACAGCAAATTCTAATTGTCTTAACTCTAAAAAGAATGATAAGTAATTCCATGTATTAGCATGCGGCACCTCCACAAGCACTTCCGTACTCAGCTCTATCCCTGTGTGTGTTGCTCTTACCTTTATGCTTCCGGGTAATAGAATGTCAATAAATATGATAACTATTAAGTATGAAGGTAAAAACTTGGCTTTTACTTGTTTGTTAGAAGATTACAACGAAGCTTCAGCTGCAAGCGAAAGCACAGCTGATCCTACCGAGTGCAAATCTTCAAAGCCACGGGTCTCGGAAGCTGAGAAGCCTGCGCTCCCGTACCTGTGACAAGCTATTCACAGAAGAGAGCAAACACCAGGGCCAAGGCGACGTACGTTTCCGTTTCGTGTTTTGCCGCAACCCAGCTGTCCCATGCAACATCCCAGATCCATCTGCTGGCAATCTGTGATACACAAATTTCAAAAAACCAACTATAAATTGAACATGTTAAGAAGTAAACTTTAAGTCTATATGGTGTCTTAGAAAGTGATATTTAAGCACTAGTTTGTCCCATTTCCCCTTTCCTGAAAGCGGTGCTTCTCTGACACGGGGACTGGGCCTTCAGCACTGTCTGGGGGCAGGCACGGGAGCCCTCCGAAACCGGGTCTAAGAGCTCTGCATACAGTACTACTCCGCTGCGTTACACTCTCTGATACGGAATTTCCCTTAACATCCTTCAAATATGTTCAAGGGAAAGTGTATTAGAACCTTGTTTGGAAATAAAGAAATAGCATTGATTATCCAAGAAGACTGTTAGGGAAAATTCTAAATCCTTAGCTTCACTCACAAAGCCCCATGTTTTCTAACTACAGCCTACTTTTCCGTGGTGGATGTAAATGGCCACAAACCTTCTGTGGCTTCTCCCAAGAAGGCGAGTCTGTTCCTCCAACCCTTGAGTATGGACTGGCCTTAGGACTTGCTCTGAGCAAAAGACTGGGACATTGTGTGACTTCAAGCAAAGCCTTCAGAGGTCTTCTGCTCCCACCTGCTCCGAACTCTGCGAGGAGACCCCCCACATAAGGAAAGCCACTCAGCCCACAGGACGGTGGCTCACATGCAGGAGAACCCAGGAGCCCGAGCCAACAGCCAGCCCCGCCCCCCGACACATGAGCGAGGCCATGTCGGACCACAGTGAGGGTGTCAGGGAGACCAGCAGGAAAAGCACCCGCTGCAGTCGGGCTGACCCACAGAATGATGAGCAGATAAATGGCTCGTTTCAAGCTTCTGCGTTCTGGGGTGGTTTGCCGTCTGGTACTGTTGCCCACAGACAGCGTGCCCGTGTCCACCGCGGAACACACGCAAGCACATGGGTTGTTTAGCGCGCACACGGCCGCCCCGGCATCGTGGCATCTGGCGAGCTCTGCTAGCACGTCCTTGGTCTCCGGCACAGCTGGTTTCGCCTTGACATTCGGATACCAGAGGGTCTGCCCTGTCTCCAGACAGTCCCAGTGGCCACTGTGCACTCCTCCTCTCCACGTGAAAAGTGTGTGCTGTGTTCTCTTCTCCCTGGGAGCCAAGGCCACGTCTGTCCTGCTGACTGACTCTCATGTGATCAGCACCCCTCCGCTGGCTTCCGTGAAGACTGCAGACGTGCCAGTGGCCACACATGGACAGGTGTGGTAAATGACGTTCTGGTAAATGACAACGACTGCCTTGCTGCTTACCAAGGCCTCGGCCGGAGACCACGTGAGGGCCCCTTACAGACCAGCTCACTGAATCCTGAGGGCAGCCTCTGCCTATAGGTGCACCGCCCATCTCCCTTTCACAGATGGGAGCACCTGTGCCCAGGCCGCAGGCTCCGACTGTCGCTGCCCGTGTTCATTTCTAGGTCAACCGGACTCGGAAACCAAGGCAGTCCCACTGTCCATCCCATTCCCTTTCTTAAACTCTGACCTGCATTGTTTTCTTTCCTTGAGTACAGGAAAATCTCTTGGAGAATCATGGTCTGCATCTCTCCACTTTCTGTCTCTTTTCTCAGTAACTAACCTGACTCCCATTAGTGCTCAAAATAAATTTACTGGTTAATTATCAAATGACATTAAATTGCCAAAATTAGTGTGATCAAGGAATAGGATAGCCATATAGTTTAATAAATTATCAATAGAAAGTTGCCATTTCTGGGTGAGGACTTTTCCAATAAGAGGCAGTGAAGGAAGATACAGCCAACAAAATCAGCCTTTGTCAGAGAGGCGCCTGGGGGCCCTGGAGGCGCGTGGTGGCGGTGGCACGGGACCTCTCAGCTCACTAGAGGGGACAGCTTGGAGCACCGGCCGATAGATGCTGGGTCAGTGTGGTACTTACATGTATTGCCTGACCAGTCTTCTGGATAAATAATACTTTTATAATGAACTTGTAACGGTGGTACCCAAATTCTTTCACTGCTGACAAGATGCGGTCTGCTAAGTCAAGTGACAAGCGAGAGAAGACTTTATCATCGTATTTGACATCTTTAAGATTTTCCTTTAAAAAAATGGGAAAGACATTTTAATTTTCAAACCATTTTCTATATAAAAACTGAAGAAAACATGTCTAATCCACAGAACTTTAAAAAAATACAAGCATTCCTTCTAACCAAATAACATTAAATGAATGTTGTGCTTGCCAATTTATTTCAATAACAATGTTGAATAAAGTTGATTTTCGTTTTAATTACATTCAATTGCTCTTCATTACTAACCCTTAACCCATAAGTTTTCTTTTACTTGGTCACTCCATCAAAAGCTAGTCGGGAGACACGGGAATTTTAAAAACAGTGCTTCTGGGAATGCTTAGGTAGATGAAGGAAATCTTTCTATAATTTCCGTATTTGCTAAAATTCAGACTTGAGTTTTCCTAAAGCCTGGGTTTCCTGGACGGGAGCCTGTTACGTGACTACTGTCTTCCCCAGTCTCCCTGACTCAAAGCCACTTCTCTAGCCCTCTCCCCATGGCGTTGCACTCTGCTGCTCTCTCTGTGGACGCCAGGACACTGAGATCCAAGATTTTCTGCCATGTCTGCTATGGATTAATCACAGCTGGGGAGACAGATGGGCGTCAGAAGCACTAGGCTTTCCCACAGCCCGAAAGCAGACTGGACGACCGAGTGAGCAGAATGCATGTGCCTTTGAATGACCTGACAATGATGACTTAACATGGTTCTGGGTCCTGTGATAACAAATGAACTCTTAACAGCTAATTTTATATGCATGTAAAACCAAATATATTGTTTTGTTTTGTTTTACTGGTTTTGATTCCCTTCTAGAATGGTGCTGGACCTAAAACTGGGTCTAGAAGCATTCGTCTCCCTCAGGCATTGGCTGTGGTTTCGTCTTTCAGACGCTTAGCAACGTCCATTCTCTCTTCCGATCTGCCTAACAAACCCTGGGCTTCGCCCACCTATACGCTCTTGTTTAACAAATGGCGAGTGCTTGCTCTAGGAAGAGGCCCACAGTCTCCTGCAGTATATCCTATTCCTGCATCTAGAACTGTGACGAATTTTCTGTGAACCCAAGGGAAAACCCCTGGCCTCTTTATGACCCCTTGCTATCCCCCCACACAGCCAATCAGCTGTTCCAGGCCCCACCATGCTCCATGCAATTCTGTAAATTATCATATGTAAATACAACTTGAAATCCTATTATAGCCAATAAATCTGAACTCAGTCTATGCGGTAAGGCCAAGCAAGAGACACACCAAAATGTGTATTCTCATGTCACAAATGCTTGCCATTAGTGTTTACATAAGAGAAGAAGGTAATAATTATTTCATTGTAGCAAACTGAGTTGAATTTATTTCCTGAAGCCATGAGCCATCTGACAAAGATTAGTTCAGCTTAGAAATTTATCTGTCTATGGCAGTAGAGGCTAGAGTATTCTCCTAAATATTCTTCTGTAATAATAAAAGTTAATTCATTTAAATAATTAACTTTGATATTATTAAAATAGTATTAATCATTTATACAAAATGAAGAGATGCTTTCTTCCCAACAGCTAGCTCACATAAGTTGTTACTGAAGGAATGCACCTCGCAAACTGAAGGGATAGGGAACTTTGAAACAAGGAACATGTCTGGGGTAGACGCAGGCTTGGTGGAGTCCACAGGGGAATCTGGCCATCAGAAAACGCCTGGGTGCCTGGTGCCCAGCACTCGAGACCACAGATGAAAAGGTGATTCAGAAAAGGTAGTCCCGGGGCACCTGGGTGGCTCAGTCAGTTAAGCACCTGCCTTCAGCTCAGGTCATGATCCCAGGGTCCTGGGATGGAACCCTGCTTTGGGCTCCTTGCTTGGCAGGAAGCCTGCTTCTCTGTCTCCCACTCCTCCTGCTTGTGTTCCCTCTCCTGCAGTCCTTCTGTGTCAAATAAATAAATAAATAAATAAAATCTTAAAAAAAAAGAAAGAAAAAGTCATCCTTCAAACTTTCTATAAATAAAAAATTTTAATTTGGTCCTTTAAGAAAGATGATGGAGGAATCCTTTCCATCCGAACAATGTAGCCTTCAGATACCAACACTAGTATAAATAATGTTGGTATTAATATTAGTCTTACAGTACTTTATAAAATTGGAAAAGCTTTTTTGGACTAGCCTGGAAATAACTGTCCTAACCGGTCTTTAGATTCCAGTCAGTTTAAAGAAGGGACCAGTGAGGGCGCCTGGGTGGCTCAGTGGGTTAAGCCGCTGCCTTCGGCTCAGGTCATGATCTCAGGGTCCTGGGATCGAGTCTCACATCGGGCTCTCTGCTCAGCAAGAAGCCTGCTTCCCTCTCTCTCTCTCTCTGCTGCCTCTCTGTCTACTTGTGATCTCTGTCAAATAATAAATAAAATCTAAAAAAAAAAAAAAAAAGAAGAAGGGACCAGTGATGTGACAAACGAGAGAACACTTTATTATCATGTTGGTGACATATGTGTCAGCAGCTGCCTGTCCTTACAGGGTTTAGGGTCAGGAACTGCCTTTCACACCCACACACACATGCAGTGTGTTTTAACTCATTCCTCCAAATACTGGAAAACATGAAACCTGAGGGATAAATAATTTATGGATAATTAAGAGTTGAAATAACGAAAGAATTAAATCTAGCTCATGGCATCGGTGGGAAGATTCTTGAGGGTGACTACAAAGTACTTTCATATTTTCAGAGACAAATGCTACAAAAAAAGTCAATTAAATATATGGCCATAAATCTTAATACGCTGATCAAATGTGCAAAGCTAAGATATTGCTATCACACATATTTATCAACCTACTGTTAGTATCTGCTGGACTTTAGTTTCTACTGAATGAGCTTGGAATTTTTTCAGTGGCTCCATTCTATATGAATTAGCGAACTTTAATTTTGCCAGGGCACTCTTCCACTCTTTACCCAAGTCAACAACTGAATCATCGAATGGAGGCTCTACATACTGAACATCATGAATCGAGTCTCTCAGTCTTTCTTTCAAAATCTGTGTGTACTAAAAGAGGGAGAAGGAAATGAGAAAGAGATTATTTTTTTAATTATAAGATGAAATTTTAGATTTAAGAACCCTAATACAATGGGACAGAGCTGACACAAAGTTTGGAAATCCGTTCTAATTGCCTTCTGTGACAGAGTAATTGCTGAATCCTAGATCCACTGATTCACTCCTGGCTATCAACTGGCTAAAAGAAAAACTAACCTAACTGGCTAGCTATCATCTCTCTATAAACGCGAATTTGCACACGTATATTTACAACATCCATGGAAGATACAAAAGAACCAGAAACAAGACAGGCCTCCAGAGAGGGCAACTGGCTGGCTAGGAGACGTGTGTAAAGAGAACTTGCCAGTTCTCTACCCTGAGGTTATGAAAGTACCATCCTTCATTGTCTTCTTACCATTTTAATTATTTACTTTTATTTAATTGTCCTTGAATAAATAATACCATTATTTACCAAAGTCTTTACATAATATTTACATAAATAACAGTCTTAAGTTGAAAGATAACAAAAGTGTACTGATTTGGTACATAGATTATTTTATGCTTTTGACATGCATTCACTCTGTGACATTCAACGTTCTTTTTTTTTTTAAATTTTATTTATTTGACAGACAGAGATCACAAGTAGGCAGAGAGGAAGGCAGAGAGAGCGGGGAAGCAGGCTCCCTTCTGAGTGGAGAGCCTGATGTGGGGCTCGATCCCAGGACCCTGAGATCATGACCTGAGCCGAAGGCGGAGGCTTAACCCACTGAGCCACCCAGGCACCCCGACATTCAACATTCTTTAAAGAAATAGTTATGTGGTGCCTAATATGGTCCAGATAAATGTTGTAGGCTCTGAAGTTACAGGGGTGAGCTCCACTGTACTAGCGAGGGATTCGTTGATGGGCTTATGCGAACTCATAATCAAGCAGTCTGCACTCACGCGGGGGTCACTCTAATGGACAGAAGGGCCGACTGACCATTGAAAGCACACACGAAAATGAATTAGCGGATTTAAATAGTAGTAATTGCTATAAAAACAAAACCACACAACTTGGGAGGAACTCACTGGGAAGGGCTAATTTAACAGAGTGATCAGAGTAGGCCCCTATGAATGAAGTTGTGTTTGGGCTGAAGCCCCAAAAGCACATACACAGTCTTCGGGGCAAACAGCGTGTTCTAGGAGCAGGTTTGTGGTCAGTGTGGCTCGGTGTCCTGAGTGAGGCAGAGTGGTGACAGCATGGAGCTAGGAAGGCAACCAAGGAGCAGTTTGCGAAGCACTGACTAGAATGTGATGAACACTTTGGATTTTATTCTCAGAACAGTGGGAACCGCTGGAAAAGTTCAAGGACGTTAGTGATAGGTTCCACATTAGTTTTAGAAGTGCACTCTGGCTGGTGTGGCGAATGGTTTAGAGGGATAGCAGGGCTCCGATGAACATAGCTTTATACTTTGTAACGCTTTTTACGAATAACGTTAACTAAGGGATTCTGTGACTTTATAATAGCTTTCTAACCAGGAACATGGTTTACTTTGGTAATTATGTAAGAATTTTTATTTCTAAGTAATTTATTTTGACATAAATCTTTCAATTTACTCTGAAGCATTTATTCTTCTGCTACTTTTCCAGTGAGGCTTTAAGGTGATTTAAATTGCACCCAGCTGGGGCACCTGGGTGGCTCAGTAGGTTAAGCCTCTGCCTTTGGCCAGGGTTATGATCTCAGGGTCCTGGGATCGAGCCCCACATCAGGCTCTCTGCTCAGCAAGAAGCCTGCCTCCCCCTCTCTCTCTGCCTGCCTCTCTGCCTACTTGTGATCTGTCTCTGTCAAATAAATAAATAAAATCTTAAAAAAAAATTTAGGGGCACCTGGGTGGCTCAGTGGGTTAAAGTCTCTGCCTTCGGCTCAGGTCATGATCTCAGGGTCCTGGGATCGAGCCCCGCATCCGGCTCTCTGCTCAGTGGAGAGCCTGCTTCATCCTCCCTCTCTCTCTCTCTCTCTGCCTGCCTCTCTGCCTACATGTGATCTCTGTCTGTCAAATAAGTAAATAAAATCTTAAAAAAAATTTAAATTGCACCCACCTATTAAACTTTTATTAATTTCAATGTTTATTACCTCTAGATTTTTCTAACTATATAATACAGGTCTACATATTTCTATCATCCCTCCTTCAACCCTTTCCATATTTTACTGCAGAGGCCAGTAGTTTAAAATGTAAATATCAGACCTCACGGTCCTCGAGTATTGTGAGAGTATTTATTCTCCACCATGGACGGATCTGTGTGGCAGAAACTGGCACTGGGCAACACGTCCCTTTCTCTGCCCCCTCTGAGGGGTTCATCTGATGGGCAGGTTGGCAAGAGAAAGAACACGATTAAGTGCAGAATCTCCCAGCTCTTCTCTTGGCAGCTGATCAGGACAAGTACGTATCATCTGTCCGAACTCTGCAGATGGTTCCCAGAGACAGGCCGTTGTCTTAGTATCAGTGTCCAGCCATGGCCGTGACCGTTTGGTGACCTGCTTGAGTGTGAGTTGAAATGTTACCAGCCTGTTTTTCATCACTGATAGTTTGTTAATATGGTTAGATGATTTCTGAATGTTTAACCAAACTTGCATTCCTAGAACAAACCCCACTCAAATATAATATTACTATCGTTATTTGACTGAATGTTTGTACCTTTTGACCTCCACATATTTTTCTTTTTTTTTTAAGATTTTATTTATCTATCTGACAGAGAGACAGAGATCACAAGAAGGCAGAGAGGCAGGCAGAGAGAGAGAGAGGGAGAAGCAGGCTCCCCGCTGAGCAGAGAGCCCAATGTGGGGCTCGATCCCAGGACCCTGAGATCATGACCTGAGCCGAAGGCAGAGGCTTAACCTGCTGAGCCACCCAGGTGCCCCCCTCCACATATTTTTCTTTTCAGATTTCACAGAGAAGTGAAATCATACAGTATCTGTATGACTTATTTCACTTAGCCTGTTCTCAAGGTCCACATGCTATTGCAAATGGCAAGATTTCATTCTTTTTTTAATGGTGAAATAAGTAAATATTTAGGACGTTTTCATTTCTTGGCTATTTATTGTAAATAATGCTGCAATAAACATAGGGATGCATATATCTTTTCAAATCAGTGTTTTCATTTTCTTTGAAGAAATACCCAGAAATGGAATTGCTGAATTGTATGGTAGTTCTACTTTTAATTTTTTGATGAGCCTCCATATTGTTTTGTTGTACTACACACAGTAGTAGCTGTACCCGCTTATGTTACCACCACCAATGCACAAGGGCTGCCTTTTCTCTACATCCTTGCCAACACTTGTCATCTTTAGTCTTTTCAATAATAGTGAATCAAATAGGTGTGAGGTAATATCTGTTTTTATTTACTTATTTATTTATTTGACCGATGGAGATCACAAGCAGGCAAAGAGGCAGGCAGAGGGAGAGGATGAAGCAGGCTCCCTGCTGAGCAGAGAGCCCGACACGGGGCTGGATTCCAGGACCCTGGGATCCTGACCTGAGCCGAAAGCAGAGGCTTAACCCACTGAGACACTCAGGTGCCCCAGTATCTTTTTTTTTTTTTTTTTAAGATTATTTATTTGACAGAGATAGAAAGCACAAGTAGGCAGAGTGACAGGCAGAGGAAGAAGGAGGCAGGCTCTTTGCTGAGCAGAGATCCGGATGTGGGGCTCAATCCCACCACCCTGGGATCATAACCCAAGCTGAAGGCAGCCACTTAGCCGACTGAGCCATCCAGGTGCACTCACTCTGCACTTCCCTGATGATTAAGGATGTTGAGCACCTTCCCTTATACCTGAAGTCCATCTGCACATCTTCTTTGGAAAAATACCTATTCACAAATTCTGGTCATTTTATAATCCAATTGCTAAGAATTTTTGGTTTGATCATTTGTTTTGTTTTTTGCTGTTGAGTTATAGGAGTTCTTTACGTATCTTGGATATTAACCCCTTACCACTTAAATGATTTGCAAATAATCTTTCCCACTCAGTAGGCTGCCTTTGCACTTTGTTGATTTCCTTTGCAGTGCCAAAACTTTTTAGTTTAGTGTAGTTCCATCTCTTGATTTTTGCTTTTGTTGCCTTTGCTTTTGGGGCTGGATCAAAAAATCATCACCAAGACTGATGTTAAGGTGTTTAATACCTATGTTTTCTTTTTGAAATTTTATGGTTTCAGGTCTTACATTCAAGTCTTCAATCTATTTTGAGTTTATTTTTGTGTACATGTAAAATGCTGGTCCAGTTTTCCCAATAACCATTGAAAAGACTGTCCTTTACGTATTGTATATTCTTGGCTCCTTTGTTATAATTCACCATAAATGTGTGTTTATTTCTGGATTCTACTGCCCTATTGACATCTGTGTTTATGACAATGCCATACTCTTTTGATCACTAAAGCCCTGAAATACAATTTGAAGTCCTAAAGAGGGATGCTTCTAGCTTTGTTGTTCTTTCTCCATACTGCTTTGGATATTTGGGGTCTTTTGTGATGTCATAGAAAATTTAGGATTGTTCTGTGAAAAATGCCACTGGAATTTTATTAGGGATTACAGTGAATCTGTAGATTTTGAGTAGTGTGTACATTTTAACAACATTAATTCTTCCAACCCAGGAACATTGAGTATCTTTCCATTCATTTGTGTGGTCTTCAATTTCTTTCACAAATGTCTTACAGTTTTCACTGTAAGACTCTGGAGGACTTTCACCTCCTTGGTTAAATTTGTTCCTATTTTATTCTTTTTAATGCAATTGTGAAATGGGATTTTTTCCCTTAATTTCTGATAGCTTGTGTATAGAACTGCAATAGATTTTTTCATATTGATTTTGTTGCCTGCAATATTTATGTTTATTGAATCAAACAGTATCTTGGTAGAAGCTTTAGGATTTACCATATATAACATCATGTCATACACAAATAGCGACAGTTATACTTTTTTCTTTCCAATTTGGATGCCTTTTTTTCCTTTCTCTTGCCTAATTTCTCTGGCTAGGATTACAATACAACGTTGAATAGAAGTGGTGGGAGTGGGCATCCTTGTCTTGTTCCTAAACTTAAAGGAAAACTTTCAGCTCTTCACCATTGTGTATGTTCACTGTAAGTTTGTCATATGTGGCCTTTAGTATGCTAAAGTATGTTCCCTCTAAACCCACTTTGTTGAGTTTTTAGGATAAATGGATATTGAATTTTATCAAATGCTTTTACTGTCTCTATTGAGATGACACAATTTTTTTTTAAAGATAATTATTTGAGAGAGGGAGAGAGAGCATGAGTGGGGTGAAGGGCAGAGGGAGAAGCAGACTCCCCACTGAGCATGGAGCCTGATGTGGGGCTTGTTCCTGGGACTCTAGGATCATGACCTGAGCTGAAAGTAGATGCTCAACCGACTGAGCCACCCAGGCACCCAGGATGATATGATTTTTATCCTTCATTAGGCTAATGCAATCTCACACTGATTGTTGGGGATGCTGACCACCCCTGCATCATAGAATAAATCCCACTTGACTATGGTATATGATCTTTTTAATGTATTGTAAAAGTTGGCCCAATATTTTGTGTATTTTTTACAACTATATTCATCAGGTTTATTGGCCTGTAGTTTTCTTTTCTCTGGTGTCCTTGTACGGTTTTGGTATCAGGGTAGTGTTGACCTCATAAAATTAGTTTGGAAGTATTCCTTCCTCTTCTATTTTTTGAAAAACTTGAGAAAGACTGGTATTGATTCTTTCAAAGTTTGGTAAAATTCACCAATGAAGACATATGGTCTGGACTTCTGTTTGTTGGGAGGTTTTCATTACTGAGTCAATCTCCTCATTAGCAATTGGTCTGTTCAGGTTTTCAATTTCAGGAATTCATACATTTTTTTTCTGGGTTGTCCAAATTGGTGGCATAAAACTGCTAGTAGTATCTTATGATACTTCGTATTTCTATGGCATCAGCTGTAACATCTCCTTTCATTTTTTCTCCTCTCTCATTTTTAATTTTGAGCCCTCTCCCTTTTTTCTTAGGCGAATGTAGATAAAGGTTTGTCAATTTTGTTTCTTTTCTTTAAGCCAGCTCTTAATTTCACGTTTCTATGGTCTTTTTGACTTCAGGTCTCATTTGTTCTTTTTCTAGTCTTTGATATGTAAAGTTAGGTTGCTTATTTATTTTTTGTTTCTTGAGGTAAGCATTTATTGTCATGAAATTCCCTCTTGGAAATGCTTTTCTGCATTCTATATATTTTGGTATGTTGTATTTCCATTTTCATTTGTTTTAAGGAATTTTAAAGTTTTTGATTTCTACACTGACACATTAGTTGTCCCATACAATGTTTCTAACCTTAATATTTTTGAATTTTTCCGTTTTCTTCTTATAATTGAGTTCCAGTTCCATACCATTGTGGTTGGTAAAGATTCTTGGTATTTTACTCTTCTTAAACTTACGAAGACTTTTGTGGCCTAACGTGATCGGTGCCAGGGAACGTTCCATGTGCACTGCAGAATGTATTCTGCTGCCCTCAGATGGAATGTTCTAGATGTATCTGTTAAGTCCATCTGGTCGAATGGGTCATTGAAGGCTGATGTTTTACTTTTCGACTGAATGACCTATTCATTATACAAGTCGGGTATTGAAGTCCCCTTTTATTGTGCTGCCGTCTCTTTCTCCCTTTACGTCTTGCTTGATGTATTTAGGTGTTCCTACGTTGGGTGCAGTTGTATTTTATTTTTCTCACATGTTGTTGGATTTAATTTGCTGTAGTTTTGTTAAGAATTTTTGCATCTATGTTTATGAGGAATAGAGGAATGCTGACTTCATTGGATGCATTGGGAAGAATTCCCTTTTCTTCAATTTTGCAGAACACTGTAATATTTGGCAGAAACTCACCAGAAAATCCATTTGGGACTGGAACTTTCTATATGGAAAAGTTTTAAACTACAGTTTTAAACTTAACTTTAATAGATATAGGGGCTGTTCAGGGTATCTATTGCTTCTTGAATGAACTACAGTTGTTTGTTTCTATATATTAGTTTTTCTAGAGCTGCTGTAATAAAATACCACAGACCAGGTAGTTTAAACAATTTTTTATTTGCTCACAATTCTGGAAGCTTCTGGGTTTCATCTATACCACGAAGTTAAGGAAAGTGACAGTCCCATCAAAACTCTATCATATGGGAAATGAATTAATCCTCCCAAGAAAAATGGAGATGCTATTACTAGAAGAAGACAAAAACGAATGCACCGTATATAAAATTAAAAGACATTTAAACTGATTAAATTGTGTTATGTGTCTTTATGTTTCCTATGCTCAAGAACAGAGAAATTCTCTATTGCCCAAAAGTTAGAAGTTACCTGTTAGTGCACTTACTGTCCTCAGATACATTTAGTGAGCATACATAGAGTGCATTCTCAGTCTCTTCCTGATTTCTGGTCTATTCAAATTTCTTACTCCTAGAAGCCTAGGTCTTTTTTTTTTTTTTTTTTAAAAGATTTTATTTATTTAGAAGGAGCACAAGCAGGGGGAGTGGGAGAGGGAGAAGCAGCCTTCCCACCCAGCAGGGAGCCCAATGCAGGGCTCAATCCCAGGACCCTGGGATCATGACCTGGGCCAAAGACAGACGTTTCACCAGCTGAGACCCCCCAGGTGTCCCTAGAAGCCTAGATCTTAAAGACAGCTGTGATTGATCACATCCATGTCAACTATGCAAAAATGGCCTTGGTCCATGTCCCTTTATTCCCAGACTACTGTCTATACACCAAGCGTGTGTGTGTATTCAAAATACATAAATCTTTCCTTACTACTGGTGATACATCTATAAAACAGATTTATTACCAACACTGCTGATCCTTAAGGAACAGTAAGGTTAGAGGCACTGATCACCCCCTCCAGTAAAAAAAGAAAAAACAAAACAACTGTGTGTGATTTCTGAGTCTCCCGAAACTTAACTAGTCTGTTGACCAGAAACCAGTAATACAAAGAGCCAACAAGCACATGTTTCGTACGTTATATACTGGATTCTAAAGAAACGTCTTTTCAAACTGTTACAAACGTCCAAGTGTTTTTCCGACATGTTCCTCGAAGACAGTCCGTGCGTACGGGCATCTGCGTGGTGGGGCTCCTGCTAAGGGCCCAGCTGCACAGCACAGCTTCTGGGGGCACCAACTCCACCTTCAACAGACGAAGGTCTGCAGCCTCGCTCTGCTCTTCCTTCCGCGGGCGGGAAGCCGCTCCATTCCTTCCTTTGGAAAACGGGACATTGCGGCGCTGTCTCAGAGCCGACATGCTCCGAGGCGTTTTGTTCCTTGAAACCTTGCAGGATCTGCCGACGTTAGCACTTCGCTCTCCGTCCTGCACGGCAGGAACGGCGGGTCCCATGAAGCTGGGGGTGCGGGGGAGGTCACCTGAGACGAGCAGACCCGCAGTCCCGGAGCAGACGCCCGTCTCGGCACCGGCCCTACAGCTCCCCACGCTCGGACAGGTCGCGTCCTCACTGAAGGTCTGAAGAAGAGTCTCGGTCTCAGGACAGGTGTCCTGGCTGTGGTCCTGGCGTTACTGCACCCGGAAGAGCGAGCGGCTCCTTCCGTGAACCCAGGCAGCCAGCGCCCGCTGGTTTGTCCCTCCCGCGAGCCCTCAATTCCCGAGACGGCAGCTGCTCCCGAAAACTCAGCACACGGGACACGCATCCTTGTCAACGCAGCACGCGTGTGGCCCGAAGCGCAGCAGAGCCCGGCGCAGCCCAGGAGCACGACGGAGCGGAGCACAAGGGAGCGGAGCGAGCCCAGAGAGCACCGGGGAGGGGAGCGCGAGCCCGAGGGGCACGAGAGAGGAGAACGTGAGTCCGGGGAGCGCGTGCTCAGATAACGCGAGGCGGGAGAGCGCGAGGGCTGGTGAGTCCGGGGAGCGCGAGTCCGGAAAGCACGAGTTCGGGGAGCGCGAGGGCCGAAGGCCGCTCACCGACACGCCGCCATGCGCCGCCGGCCACCGCGCTCCCGCCCCTCCCCCGCACTCACTGCCTCCCTCTCGAACATGCTGGGCTTCCTCTCCCTCCGAGGCGGCGGCGGTGTCGGCTGCAGCTGCGGTGCCGAGCTCGGGGACAGCTTCGCGCCTCGCCCGCGTTTCTCCATGCGGCTCGCCTCCACCCGTCCCGAAGTCCTCGGCGGCTTCCCGCGACAGCTCAAGTCGCGCGCGTGCGCCGTGCGAGCCGAAAGTGCGGCCGGGAAGGAGGGGCGGGGCGAGGCGTGCGTCATCCCGCCGCGCCTGCCGCCCGGAATCGGAAGTGACGGAGGCGGAGCGGCCCGGAAGGCGCGGTTGGGCGCGCGCTTCGGTACCGGCGGGGGCGGGTGCTGGCTGCTTCCGGCTGGCCCCCGTGGGCTCTGCGCCTCCGTCGAGTCTGCGCCGGCGCGGCCGTGCCCCCGACCCTGACCCCGGAGACGCGCCCCGTGGGAGGGGACGGGATGTCGTTTCTCCGGGAGCTGAAGGCTGCGCGGACTCGGCGAAGCGCGTTCCCTTCCGCCCGGGTGAGATGAGCGTCGCTCCGCAGCGGCCGCTGCCTGTGTCCCGGGGCCGCGCCGTATCCCGGTCCGTCCCGTGTGAGACCCGCCTTGGTGCAGGCCGCGGGGCGGCTCTTGCGGGGGTGAGTGTCCGACCCCGCGGCGGAGCGGCCTCCGGGCTGTGGTGTTCGGCCCGGGTCGCTCCGGAACCGGCGCGCGCGCCTGGAGCCGAAATGCTGCCGGAGCGCGGGGCCCCTCAGGGTGCGGTGCCGCGTGGGTCGGGGACAGCGCACTGGGTCGGGCGGACTTCCGCAGGGTCACGGCGTTGCGGATCGTGGGGGAAGGAGCAGGCTCCGTGAGGGCACCGGCGAGCCGCCGCGAGCGGCCGACCCTGGCGTCAGAACCGGCCCAGCGCTGGGAGCTTTACGCTGAGGGGCTTTTCGGGAGGCCACGCCCCGCCCCGTGGGGACCGGCGTCTCCCTGGGGGGTGGGTCCGGCGGTTCCGGGAGGCGGACCTGGAGGAGGAGGCGTGGGACGGCCGGTGCCGGGTCGCCGGGGACGCGGGGGACGAAGCGGGGCTTCCAGGTGCCGGGAAGGTTGCGGACGGCTCGGCCGCTGCGGGCGAGAAGCCCCAAGGGACAGAGGCGGGAGGGGGACAGGCGGCAGCGGGTCCTGCGGTGTCCGTGGTCCCTGGACGGCCACAGCGTCACTGACGGTTCCGCGCGTATCGCCGGGTCTGTGGAAGGTTGGTCGGCGGCCGGGGGGCTGCGGACACCGGCAGGTGAGGTCTCTGGGGACGGGCTTGCCGAGTCGGGCGAGGAACTCGAGGTGACCGGCTTCCAGACCGGGGAGCTGCCGGGGCTTCGTCCCTCCCGTTGGGACGCGGACGTGACCCATCAGGTGAAGACCCCGTGGGGACTTTAGTCCCAGAGTGTGACTCCTTTGCGGGTTTATAAGATGCCGTTAGGGTCACGCGGGGATAGTTAGGAGGATTTGGGTATTACTGAATCCTTCATTTAAAAGCGCCGTTTGCTGCTGCTCATACCACACAAGGAGGCGGAGGCTCTTTACTTGCCTTTTTTCTCATTGTGCTTGATTTTCTGCTTTTCCGTTTCCCATTTTGAAAAATCGCTCATTTTGATAACTTCGGGACAGCGTAGGAACGCTGAAAGGAACAAAGCACTATCTGTAAAATGTACTTCTGTAAACTCGTACCTTCGCAGACAGTATTAAAATTTCACATCTTCAACACCTATTTGAAAAATTTATGTAAACTGTCTTTAATTAACATTTAATCATAGCATTTTAATCACACAGCTCACGAGAGCCGGCAAGTGTGTTAGCAGCAGCTACACCTGAGTACATTCCATGCTTAAGATGGAATGGGATTTTCTTGTTACTGGAATATATAATGGATATTACTGTTTTTACTTCTTTTCAATAGTGTCTTCTGTGTTTCACATTTCAGATGCTAATAGAGGATCCGATTGCCACTTGTCTCTCTCCCCCGGTCTATGATATGATCTGTAAACTGGGGTTTGAAGTCAGAGAAAATTGGGATATCGATCGCATTGTAACCCAGAGGGGAGACGTGTGCTGGCCGACCATCGCAGCCTGTGTGATGTATACACGGTCAGGTCTGTGTGCTCTCAGCTCCCCAAGCACATGTCAGTGCTGGTCCGTTTAAAACGTCTTGACGCTAAAACTTTCCTTTTTGTCCATTGTTTCTCTTAGTTAGAACTTGTTATAACACAGACGTAGCTCAGCACAGGAAAAGGTCAGGTGACACGAGAGGGAGTGAGGCCAGAGGAGCACAGCAGAGAGATGGGAGTGCTGAGCCCAGGAAGCCCTGTGTGAGGAGGCGGGCGCGGGTGGCAGTTTCACTCCAGGCCAACAGTCAGATGGAAGAGAGAAGGAAGTCGGAGTGCTAGGAATTCTGAATAGGAAGGGACCAGTAGGATGTTCCACAGCTGTCTTAAATGGTCCAGGGTTCATTGTTCATTGTTTAGAGCAGGGAAGTGGGTTGGGAAATTTAATAATAGAAAAATTTCAAGCGAACATTCCCTGGCCCAGCAGTTTCATCCCAGGAATTTGTAAGATGGGCGCACTTGCAGGTGTAAAAGAGTCTACTTTTGGTGCTGATTATAAGCAAAAATTGGAAAAAAAAAACCAAAAAACCCCAACAAAACCCAGACATTGGAAACAGCCAAACGTACAGGGTCACTCCGACAGAGGCACAAAAGAGAGCGTTATGCGGTGGTACGAAGGATTGAGAAGCCCATCGCTGAACCATGTGGCTAAGTGAGAAAATGGGGGGGGGGCTTATAACTGTTTTTGCTTGTGTATGTATAAATATTTCTAAATGTACCCAAGAAATTAGTAACTGTAATTGCTATTGGAAGGAGAACTGAGTGGCCAGAAGGAAGACCTTCACCCGCTTATACTTTTTGGGTGTGAACCGTGTGAATGTTGTTTCAAACTTACCAAAAAATTAAAACGAAAAATTCGTATGTTCTAAAATAACGTCATTGGAAATCTCATGGTCTAATAATGTCAAGTAAAAAAAATCAGGTTAAAAGATCATACAGTATAAACCTGATTTTGTATAAACTTACAAGTAAAGTGAAGAAAATATTTTGTCTTGACTAACCTTTGTGTATTTTTCAAACCCTGCTAATAGTGTAATTTTGTTTTATTGTCAGATGAGTGCTATGTAACTTATTCCCACAATATCGGGGTAGCTTTATTATAGGCTTCTAGAAACCGGTTGTCGATTTCATGGAAACTTCCTGATTGAAGTACGTGTTCTCTGATGCTCTAGGCACTTTTGTCACCTAACACGGAGCTGTGGCCGAGCTGTGGCACTAACACTGGTTTTCTTACCCCTGCAGACCAGAGTCTGGATTACCGGGGCAGCGTGCGGCTGCTGGGCCCTGTGTGTGAGGCCGTCCACTCACATTTGTTATCTCTGACCAAGGGACAGTTTGAGACTCGATACGCGCCGTGGCTGCAGTGGACAGCTTTTCCAGAGGTTTGGCTTGTGAACAACCTTTAGAAATACAAGACTTTGCAAAGTTTGCGTAGAGGCCCTGGTTACCTGCTCATCTTTCGTCTCCTCTGTCCACTAAGCCCACCACCAGTGAAAAGGCTGGAGGGTTTTGAGGGAAACTTGGACTATTACGCAGTAGCCATGGCCCAAGCTAAGAAACATCCTTGGAACCAAGGAAGGTTTGGGAGGCGTTTATCCATGTGGGGGGTTGGGGAGTAGCTGGGTACGCGGGTGTCGGTCCTCGGACACATGAGAATGGATTGCTCCAGGAAAAGAGCAAAGACCTCACGGACAGACCGTAAGGCGTTCTTTAGATAGCGGACAGGGAAGCCAGGTGGTTTGTGGAGGGGAATCGAAGGGAGGAGGTGAGTGGGGGCCCAAGCCCAGACCTTGTTTGGGTCCCGCCATTGCACTTGGCACCTGTAATGAGCACAACAGCTCAGTGACTCTGGAGGGCCTTCCTCTAAAGTACTTCGGATTTCCTGATGTAGGTGGAAGGGTCGTTGCTTCTCCCCCTTATAACGGCTCTTACCGACAGGCTGAGCTGCCTCCGTTTATTGGCTTAGAACTAATCAAAATGGGAAAAAAGATTTAGATCAAAACAGCTGACTTTCCAAGTTATAGTCATGCCAGATTTACTGCTTTCAGTGAACATTTAAATGAAGGGGAAAAAATGTTCAGAACTCCTTAGATATTAAGCAGTTTTTGATTCTTTAGGTATTGTTACAGTGGAGTCTTGAACAGTGCAGGGCTAGGGTGCCCAGCCCTTGTGCAGTGGCAGATCTGCACATGACTCAGGACTCGCTCGGAACCGAACTGCTCATAGCCTCCCTGACCACAGGCCTTACTGATGATGCACATAGTCAGTCCACATGTATTCTGTGTGTCCTGTGCTCATTACTGTGTTCGTACGGTAAAGTCAGCTCGAGAGAAGCGACTAAGAAAATCACGAGGAAGAGAAAAATACACTTGCAATACCGCACTGTGTTTGTGGGGAAAAATCGACATGTAAGCTGACCAGTGGAGTCCAAACCTGTGTTCAGGGGTCAGCTGTGTATGTGTGTAGAAAATGTTTACCTGCACCAAAAAGGTCACGAAAATGTACCAGTTGAAACCTTTAGAAGTTTGAATTTCTTAGATGGTATTGAGAAATGTTTCCTGCTGATCACAGATTCTAACGTACGTCTTACTCTGCACAGTTATTTCCTGAAATATTTGCTGCTTTGGAAAGCCTCCAGGGTCCTGCCATCTCTCTTGGCTTGATGAAACTGACGGCGTGTCTAGAACGGGCTTTGGGAGATGTAAGTGTGAGAACTTTCTTTCACTCAAGTATGCGAAAACCATAAAGCTTTTACAGCTGTCCTCGGATTTCTTGATTTTAATTACTGTTTTCCTATGAAATGTAATCATTTGGCACAGGTGTTTAGTATTTTTCTTTTTGAATGATTATGAAATCAAAACACCGGTGTCTTTGGTGCTTCTTTTGCTCATTTGTGCAAACGGTGGCTTTATGCGTGCGTTTCTCTGCGCGTCGTCTGGCTGCTCGCCGCGCAGCTCGGACGCGCTCCTGTCTGCTCCGCAGGTGCTCGTCCTGCTCGGGAAGGACTGCCCCTTCCTTCTGCGAGACCTGCTTGCGTCT